CTTCCTCCTACTGCTGTGACCATTATTTATTATTATTATTTCCTGATTCCTGATTGTAATCAAAGTTATCATCACACTTGTAGTTCTTAACATATGATCATTAAAGAAATTACTCAGCGTAATTCTCACCATAGAGCTACGTTAGAGGTTACCTGGGTCATATGTAGGAGGAGGAGGTGGGGGTAATGGCCCCCCGTCCTTCATGACCTGAGTAAGCGTCTTGGCGGCCCGAATAGTAGCAATGAAGTCCTCATGCTTCCTACGCCAGTTGGACGGCTTCTTGGGGGGCTCTGCCTGGTGGGAGGTAACACAGAGATGATGTTTACAACTGACCTGTCATTCTGACGTCATGACTTGAACCATCAGCCATGTGTAGAGTGCTAATATCTATGAACTGGTGAAATTTGGTGAGGATCTGGATTATGATTTAGGTTTGAGAATACTTTGTCATTTATATATTTAGGGGTGATCTTTATTTAGTTACTGTGCAGTAAGAAATATTGCTTTCCGGTAAAATCTGAGTACCCTTCTATTTCCTCTTATTTGTGAATCATGTTTATTAAAAGCTGCTCTCAATAACCGACTACTACTCTTAGCATTAGTTCACTTTGTTTCCTTCTTTAAATGTCCCTTTTTATTAATAGTTGAATGATTTCTTCTTGTCTGACAAGCATGATGCGACACGTTTGTTTTTAATTTCACAGCCTGACGACTGAATCAACACGTTTGTTATTTTGACGCCTTGTTGAGGACTTTCATACAAAAAACAGAAGTATGTGTTTTAGTCATGCCACAAGACAGAGAACAACTGTTATTCAAGCTAAAAGAGTGAGTATACTGTTGTCAAAAAGTAACATGAGCCTATGACTCAGAGTTATAACAGTGAAGTTTAAACACAGATAGAGTTGAGGCAGGAAAAGTGAAATAAAGAAATAAAACAACGTTACAGGAAGTCAAATAATGTAGTTAGGAAAGTGATTTTTCTTTGTAAAATGACTATCACCACAAAAGCAAACTATTTCTAAAACCAGATATGGTGAGGCTCCTGATTAATTGTGTTGCTGCAATGTATACAGAAAGAATAGACAATTAAAAAAAGGCAAATCAACTTACTTTCCCAGTAGCAGAAGTACTTTGTGACTGCAATACAATTGAAAGTGGTTTACATTTGAAAATAATCTGCCAACACAAAACACTGAATGTCTCAAGTGGAAGCTGCAGAATTTGCTTGAATTTGATCTACTGGCCTAGAAACGTTGCATGCTGATATTTTACATCTAAATCACCGAACTTTCAGATTATTTCCAGATTATTGTGTGAACATCTTGAGAGATGATCAATGGGGTGATTCCAAGTAAAATCATCACGATCTTAATGGAAAACGAGAAATCTATGGAACCAAATGTCTCCGATCCTAATTAAGGGAGATAAGAGCTGATGGATTTTGAACCTTTTGGCAGAGGGGACTCTATGACTTTGACTGGTCACATCTCCCTAAATATTGTGTGTAATTTCTGTGTGTAACCTCCATATATGTTTGCTCTCCCATTGAGAATCAAACTGAACTCTCTTGGAGTTGGAGTTAGATTCCAATCTTAGGTTAGCCTTACCTTTGGTTTGATAGGTTTGAGTACCGGGATGTCTGTGCCTTCCGCTCTCTGTCTACTGGAGTCAAAAACCTTCCTTCTTTTGGCCGCTGACTTTTGGCAGATTTTAGCATGTTTCTCCTGTGGTGGGAGAAAAAGTAATAATAATAATAATCATTGTATCTCTGATGTGGTTAAATCAATGTCACATTAATGTGGTTAAGTTTTGGTAAAAGCAAATTAAGTGGTGGGAATAATAATGTATGCATCATCTTCAACAAGTAGATAATCACTCATAATAAGTTATATGAGTGTCGTTATTGGTGGTTGTGGTCTGAAAGGGGAGGAATGAAAACAAAGTAAGGAAAACTCTAAAAACCTTACACTCAACCACGCTGAGTGAGAAGTTGGTGCCTGGATTGAGCAAGAGCTACGCACAGTACTGCCACAAGGTGGAACCTTTATACCACAATGACGCCCACACTAAAGTTATATTAAATACATGGAATTACTGTCAACATAGAGCAGGCAAATCACCTACGTGTGATTATCAGCAGACACTGACAGGATGACTTTAAAATGAAGATTATGTGACAGATTAAGTGCACAGGCCTCAAATCAAATGACTGTCAATACACCAAATATCAGTCTATGGGCACAGAACTGAGTCCAATTAGCAGGACCGGGCGTGACCAGCATGAGAGGGAGCAACAACAGTCTTTAAAGGTCCAGTGTGTAAGGTTGAGGTGAAAGGCAGAAATTAAACATAAAATAATCCTAGTTATGTTTTCACTAGTGTGTTTTATCTGAATTGTAGTAATTGTTGTTTTCCTTACCCAAGAATGGGCCCTTTATATTTAAATACTCTATATTTACAAGTAGAGTGTCCTCTCTATGGAGGCCCCCATGTTTTTTACAGTAGCCCAGACAGGACAAAATAAACACCTTTTGAGTTTGTAGGACAACTGAAGGCTATCACAGTTTCTCCTTCATGTTTTCACACTGAACCTTTACAGGTGATAAATACGTAAACATGGCATGCTGATGGGTCCTGGTGACCACCAAGACATTCTAGTGTTGGGATACTGGTGACTAGCCTCATGAGCAAGTACACCAAAACAGCTATGATGGGCCACCAGCTAAACCAGTACTAACCAGCCTACACTATGATTATTTCCATGATGATCAATGCTGGTTTATTTAGTTGGGGGGGAACATACCACTCTAAGGGGGTGGTGTTGGAAAAGTCCAAGTTGTGCTGGGCTTTTTTTTAACTTTTTAAGTAAAGACACACGTTTTTGCACAATAGCAGGTCCTTATCTGTGTTTCCCCAACGATGTTCAATAAAATATGAAACATGTGCTTTTACCAAATAGTTTCCCTGCAGTATAAACACTTTCATCCACCTCCCAAAGAGCTCTGTGCTGGGCCCAGCAGGCTGTTTGGGTGGTAGCCAAGGAGGCAGTATTTTCCCAATACCTCATATCCTGTTGGCTGATGATCACTGAGGAAAACACTGTGACCACAGCCACCTCAGCACGATCACAGATTTTGAATCGAAGACAACATTATTTCGATGTCACATTATTATTCTCTGAAAAACCCTGCACTGCAGACACGATGACAGGGAGATGATTGTTGTGGCTTTTGGTTTCTTTTACCAGCACTTTAGGGTTGAATGATCTTTTGCAGGTGTTGCACTCAGCCAGATCCTGGGGGACTTCAACGTCTGCAAATAAATAAATGAATAAATAAATGTGTGCACCCATGAAATGATAATGTGCAGGAAACCATTGAGTTTCTGATGACACAAGCAACATTTGAAGTGTGATTCCACCAACTATGTCCAAATGCTAAAAACAAACACAACAGTCAGATTGTAGCTATGGTAACCGATTCTTCAGCATAGTGTATATACACACATGTATTCAGAAAGATATAAATGCCCGTCAGTATGACGGTGCACACTCTTCAGCAACATTAGCATCCGGTTTCATTCATTTGACAGTTCATTGGTTAGCGTTATGCTAACGCTGGGGGCAGCTACTGTGGCTAATATCAGGATCACATCCACACACAGAGAGAGCCGTTAGCTGAGGCGATACCTAGCATGACAACAGCTAAACCCTGCTCCAGAAAAAGAGGTTACCGTTCAATTTAAGGTGTAATATATATATATAAAAATAGCATTTATAAGTCGCTGTTATTGAGGAGATGCATTCTGAGCGGTTGTAACCACGAGTTTATCTCCAAACAGCTTCAAATCAACCAGAACATCGCCTCCTCTCACCTTCCTGCTCCTCCATCATTTTGTTATTTTCTCTGCCGTTGTTACGGACCGGAAGGAAGGAGCAAGAGGACTCCCTCCTAGGCACTTCCTGGTTCGCTCACACACTCTAACTCGTGTTGTGACCTCTTTATCTGTGTCCACTGATTACATGAAATACAGACAAGGTTATTTTTGTCGCCTGGTTTTTTGTGTCAGTGATTCAAGTAATGGTGTATGCGTGGTGTTGTGTAATCATATGTTTTTGTTTTAACCATGGTGTCGGAAAATTTGAGTCACTGACTGGGAAAATTCTCGTGAACGCAACATCAAGCCAGAGCAGCAACTCTCCAAAAGTTGCTCTAAACATTAGCTGCATTCATGCAGCAATTAATTTCCTAAAGGGAAAATTCATGTCTGTGCAAGTTCAAGTTTTCTCTACAATTTGGAAAGAAAATATTGGCACGGAGTTGCCAAGTTGCTGATGTCCTCGCTTATGTATCAAACAATCATTTCTCAATCAACTCCAAGCAGTAGCTCTGTATATTCACACGCTCCTCAGAAGGTCCCATTTTCCGAATTGTGAGGTTAGAGTTCAGACTTCGGTTTGACATCGGAATCTGGAAACAATATGGCCGCCCTTAAGCCTAGTTTATGCTTCTGCGTCACGTCGATGCCGTACCTACGCCGTAGCAAAATGTATTGTGTTGAAACATCACGTTCTCACCTCTTTCTAATATTTGCATAATAACGAAGAGCAATTGTTGTATATTGGGGTAGTGATGATGTGAAGATGATGAAGAAATCTCCGATGACACCGTCTTGATTGTATAAAAGGTTTATTACAAAAAGTTCAGCATCAATACAAGCACTGCAGTCTGCCTGGAGAGAGAGATCCGGGGCCAATGTGAATCTCTGCTGCCTAACAGATTTAACTGCCTGTTTATATAGGAGAGTTGTCGTCGTAAACCTAAAGAAAACACATCTGGCTTTCCTCCAGCCCTCCTGATCTGTCTGGTAACAGGGAGGGAAAGGCACCAGCTCAAATTTAGAGTGACCGTTAGAGCCGTGATCTAATGCCCTAACGTATACGTTCGATTTTCCTCTGAAAGCCTAAACTTATGGGCCTCCGAATCCTCAGGACCTATGGGCTTCAGACCCATAGATCAACTTCCTTCAAAGAGAACACAACACACGGCATTTCAGACACCACACAATGAAAAGGGATCACGAGTTAAAGGCTCATTTAATTTCAAACAAATGCACATTAATCACTGTCAATCATAAAAATGTTTGTATTATTAAAAAGTGGCATAGAGCCACAGTGTGCGATGCGAATCCATGCTGCGATTTGACACAGGAAGTAAATGTTTTACTTGCCTCCTCCCTCACACTGATTGGAAATGAACACTGAAACGTGTGTGACCGGGCTCTTGGGTGCTCGACTGCTCGTGAGAGATGGAAATGAAGTTTGGACAAAAGTGTAACGTCTGCAGCTCACATTAACAGCTACTGTTTAGAGCTGATTGTAAAATCATATTAAATGGTGAATAAGTCATGACATCAGTAACTCATTTCACAGTTTCCAAGTTGTTGCTCCAACTCAAGGCAACGTTCACGTCAAACCACATGAGCGCAACAAAGTTGGAACAGCTATGGGGCACATGAATGCACCATCTAAGGCCAGGACTGAAAATGAACCATCTTGACATCACTCATCTTTGGTAACCAAGAGCAACGCCTGCTTGGAAATGTAGCTTCACCTCCCAACATCCGAGGATTTGATTGGTGTGTATTAATGCAGTGTGTAGTTTGAGCAGCAGGTGGAGCCTGGGAGGGGATTTCTCAATATTATTCCCATTTAAGCATCTTGCCTTTTTTCAAGTGATGAAGATGATTAGTTTAATCATTTGTAGTTTTGCTCCAGAAATAATTAAGTTATATCTGG